AATTTATTTTTTACAAAGTGCTGGTGTCTTTCTCCTTAGGGAGGATTACAATGAAAAAGCACTTTATTCACAAGTCACCAACTCACATACTTCAGCTATACCAGCCTCCCTTCGTAGTTCTGCGTCCTCATTTTCCTTAAAGTATTCAACAGCATACATTTAATTAACAAAACAATTCCATCTGTTCTGTGAATCCATACCAGCAACTCTACTGTTAAAATACACGTATTTCTCTCAGTGCAGCTGTGCTTAATCTGGCAGGAGGAGAAAAGCCTGCTGTGTCTGGCATTTGGGCTCCCATGGCAGGGCTGCAGCCTGGCTGACACCAGGGGCTCCTGAAAGTCTCCACAGCCCCATCCCTGGCCACTGCTGGCCCCTGGGACCCCCAGGTCACCTACTTACCATAAACACAGGCCCCCACAGGCACTTCCACAGCAACACTGGTAAAAGATCCCTTTTTGTTTTTTTGCTGAAGTTTTGACAAGTGACAGAGAAGAACATGTTCAAATGAAAATGTGAAACAGGAGCCATGGGCTGTGACAAGCAACAGGACATTGGAATTTAGACCCCAAGAGCCAGCTAAACCTCCCCCAGCTGCAGCCACCACCTCCCAGCCTTGGTACTGACTTCACCCTTGGCCTGAGGTTCGGGAAAGCATGTGCTCTAGTTGGAAACCAGGCTCTCCAGTTCTTCTACAGCAGGAGGCCTCAAGGGCTCATCTACTCCTGGGTCTCCCTGCTGGGAGTAGACCAGTCTGCCCATCACAGGTCTCTGTCACGTTGCAGCTATTACACAACAGCTTCCCCACCGCCGCAGTGCCGTCATGCTCCTCTCCTGACCAGTTCTTGCAGATCAAGCGTCTCCCTTCAGCTTACAATATTAAGAGAGAAAAAGATGAGATAATGTCTGCCCTGTTCAGGTCCTGCCTCAGTCATAACCTAGAGGACAAGCTTGGCTCACTGCAGGAGATATAAGGTTGGACAAGGTATCCGAGTCAATCACAGGTGAATCCCAACTTCTCAGTCTGAGAAAGTTCATCCTGAAAAAAGGATGAACTGTTGAGCTCAACAGGAATAGAAATATGAATAAAAAAGTCTGGTAAAAAACAGGGACTAATCATGTAAACCAGGGACTTAAGAGTAAACCAGGAACTTCCCCCCTCACCACTGATGTCCTAGATAAATGAGATACTGCTTCTGCCACGGGGCTGCTGTTAGTCTATGAAATATTTAGAGTTTTTGCTACCCCCACCTTTTGATTGAAATGGCTGTGAAGGGTTTTACTTGTTCTCAGGCTGCAGATGAATTTTAACTTTCATCTTGCCATAGAAGCAGCAGCCTTGTAAGCAGCCTTCAGAAGCGGGGCTTCTGAACACTTACACCATCAGCATAGGACGCAGCACACCCCTCACCAAAACGCAAGCCATCAAGAGGAACAGATTGGTTCAGGCAGCTCTCCATGAAATCCTCACTGCAAGCAGCACAAGCATGCAGGTGACGATAAAATTGGTAAGAAACAAATCAATTAATGCAACAATAGTGCAATAAGTTGTCCCTGAAGCAACTCAACTGAATTAAAGCAGGACAGTAAAGCAGGTTAACAGAAAAAAAGTAAATGTAGTTATTTAACAGACACCAAGATGTCCCGGTTCCAGGTGAGCCCAAAATAAGTTTTTACCAACTTCTGAGCATGCAGCTTCCCCTGCAGCCAAAGCTCTGAGGGACCTGGCCCTACAGCACTGCTGAGAACTGCTCAGCTTAAGACAAGAGCCCTCTCCTCCTAGAAACTCTCATCTCTTCATCAACAGCAGGCAGTATCGAGGGAAATCAGGCTGACCAGGCTAAAATTACTGTTCTGTTTACTCCTTTGAATCCTACTGTTCTCCTCAAATCAATGCAAGCTCTTCTGCACCCCAGATGGGTAAGCTGTTCACTAGGTTATCCCAACCGACCCACTCAAGAGAACACTTGCAAACCCAGACCTGCAAGGCTGAACCCAAAAGACATCCTTCATGACTAGGGCAGAGATGCAAAAATTGCCTCCAGAGGTGAGTGTGACACTTCATTAACACCCACCCCCACGTGGATGTGCTTCCAAAGTAGCAAAGTCACACTTAAAAAACCAAATACGTACAATTGCTAGAAAGTTAAGTGTACGAGTTGTAAGCACGCTGGATCAAGCTGAGACGGCTAAATAGAGACTACTCAGAGACTACATCCTGTGTAGTCTGCAGTACCCTGCAGACTACACAGGGTGCTGCAGTAGCAGCACATTATCTAGCAGTGAGGGAGACACCCTACGTGGACATAGGTGGTGCACTCCAAGAGCAGTAAGCCAGAGGAAGGCAATGCCACCATGGCACTGGTTATCACCTAGAAGATGGTGGTGCTACACGCTGAATGCACAAGCACAATGCCAGAGGTTGTTCAAGCACAACAGAACACATCATGTTAGAGCACTATGGCAGAAAGCAAGAAAAAAGCTTTTACAGCACAAAAAAAGGCTCATACAGACAAGCACGTAAGCAACTGAGTTACTTCTCAATACTGTCATAGCTCCCTACTTCAAGTTATCTTCTAGGAAACAATGCAAACACGTTCCTTTTTCTGCCACCAGCCATCTACTTCCTCCTGTTCATGCATTTCAGCTTGCCTCTGATATGGCTACTGGCAAATTTCAAAGGACACGAAAGGTTTGATTATAAAGGTAATACTGCTCTACATTTCCCCCTTCCTTTCTTTTTAGCCCCCAACCTTTTCCCCTGCTGCAGCTGTCAAGTTCTGCAAACAAATCCACTCTTCTCTCATCATCTCTTCAAGTCAGGTAGTTCCTGGTAGGTCAAAATTATGCAACAATACTGTGCGCTTCATCATAAAGTCACGTATGGTAGTAATCCACCAAAATGAAATCAACGACTTCAGCTTCAGTTCCCACAAGGTAAGAACACACTGACCCCCTTTTGTGGAAGAGGACAGAGATGTCCAGAAAAGTCACGAGTTGCAAAAACTACCCTGTTTTCCAAGTCCCAGTTTAAAGCCAGAACCAAATACCTGTTGCCCTTGTTTAAAAATAAATGCTAAACTTCCCAAAGATGCTCCCAGCCATCCAACCTACTGATCTAGTTCAGCACGTTATGGAAAGCTCAGTAGAGGGATGAAGTTGCCCTTGTGAACGCATCATTCCTTCGCATTATGACTTGTTAAGACAGGCTGCAAATGCAAATGTCTTCTTCAGGCAGACCAGAAACCCAAAGGTACAGCTCCTCAGCCAAAATCCTGTCACTTTGATGGTACAAAAGCTGTGACTCAAGAACGCTGTCGCTAACTTTACAAAAGGTACCATGTGGCAGGCTTTGGTGGGCTGTCAGTTTTGACCATCTATGCTTCAAGGCAAAGGCGTAAGGAGAGAAACTGCATCACTGCCTGTAAGCTGCTAATGCCTCGGGGGATGGCAAGTTCTTGGAATTTGGCCTTCAAATGAAGGGAAGGGAATGTCTTAATGAAGCCCACCTGCATATACTCCTATTCACATGAGAAAAGAGCACAGCAGAGTGTGAATTCTCAGTGCTGGGCCAAACTTCAGCCCATATGAAATGGTTGCTCTTTCACCCCTACTCTGACCTCTGTTCCTCTCTCCAGAGTACTACATGTACAGCACACCAGAGGCACCCTATCGTGAACAGAGACCACAGACAGCGGCAGCAAGATTACTCCTCCACTAGCAGTGGGTGCTATGTGGAAGAGAATGGCTTTTTTGTTGGTGGTGGGTTTTTTTGGTTGGCTGTTTTTTTTGGTTTATTTTTTGGTTTTGGGGGGTTTTTTTAAGGTAAAAAGAATTTTCCAGCTTGCTCAGGAAACCCTAAACTTGTAATCACTTGCCTAGCCCATGATAGTGTCCTTGCTAGTTATCACCTTCAGCCTCAAGCAACATCTGAAGAAAAAAAAACAACAAAAAACCACCAAACACTTTCCAAGTACACCATTCAACAAAATCTGAAATATATAAACTGTTTACCAAAAAACACTCAAGAGTCACTAGCCAATAAACCATAAAACTTTTTTTTTTTAAATTCATTATTTAATGAGTTTTCTTTAAGAAAGAGATATTTTGAAGCTCAAATTACAATAAAGTACAATATTCTAGATCTACAGTAGGCAGTGCTATAAACATTTACCAAACCAAGTATTTTCACATTTGCTCCCCTGCTGTTATTGTTATTATTTAAGGAAAAGAAACTCAAAATCTCTTGTTAACAGCAATCCTGTCCTAACTTGGCTATTTCACCCTGGAACAGAATAAGGACAAGAGCCTGTTAACACAGTCCTTTCCCAAAATACAGACTGAATGTCTAGCAGGCGCAAGACACCATCATGATCACACACTAACTCAGCTTTTTAAAGACTGACAAGTAAAATGGAGCTGTTGGCTGGAGGCAATATTGACAAAGGGTGTTGCTCCTTTTCTGCAGGAATCGCCAAAAAATGCCCTTTTGCTACCAAAGGCAAGCTGCCATTGAGCTCGTGTTCATCCAACGCATTCGAGGAAATCTGTGTTTATGTAGGTAGCTTTGAGTTCATGTTTCCAACTTCTTGTTCTATTTTCCCTCTTCTCTCCATATCCAAGGTTTTCTTTCTCCCTTTTCATTTCTATCTTCAGCTACTCGGTCCCAGTGGGATAGAGCCAGAGCACCACTCCTCTTCAGTCTTCTGGCATTGTCAATACTGGGACAAAGGGCAAATCAATAATGCTGAATTAGTACTGAGAAAGAAAAAAAGAAACAGGTTAACTCCTCAGAGAGTTGTTTCTTATCTTTTAAAGGCCATTTGGCATGGCCTTTGAATTCTAGAAGTTCATGTGAGCTTCTACAGTTAGTGTGAAAATGTGATCGAGCTGAAAAAGTTTCAACACTGCTTGGTTTAAACTGAGCAGCACGCTGCAGGAACCACAGCAAGACACTGTTTGAAAGCTGCTGCTCAGCTATTCAGACATAGAAGCAGACATCAGGTGTAAATTTCATATTTATTATAACAAAAATTATGACATGTTCATTTGTGCATTCGGCTTTAATATAACTCTTGGTATGTAAATGTTCTACAGCAAATGAGCTCTATACAATCATGCTGGTTGTGGCAGCAGTAAGGAACACAAACAAAACATGTCTGTAAAAGTAAAGAAAGAGACCAGAGGAAAAAGTGGGTTTCTTCAAATGGTCTGCACCACCTCAGCTCCAGCTAACTCGTACACAGCCACTCAGTCCGTTACGCGCAATGACCATGGCCCAAAGAGTCGCTTAAGGAAAAAAAGGTCAGTTTTTCAGGTTGTGTCCTTAATGCCAAGGCTACAAAACATGTAAGCATCACTATACAACACTGAGCTATTTACAGGAATTTCCCAATCAACTGTTCTCTCAGAGAAAATTAGTGAATCTCAGTGACTTAAGTCACCTGAAAGAGTAAAGCAACTCCTAGGAGTTAGTCTCCATATTCTACAAATGTCTATCATTTTCAAGACCAAAAAAAGCCTTTTCTCTCAAAGAAATACAGTATTACAATATTACTTAAATCATTTAGCACTGGCTACTGCCCTGCTTTTCAAACAAAACAAACAAGCCATTTTAAAAAATATTACATCATCATCTGTTTCTCAGCAATATATTAAACCTTTTTATTACTTTTTTTGTTTGTTTGTTTTTTACACTTGATATGTTAAGGGAAGGTTAACTATTTTAAACTTTACCGGTCAAGCGTCTCTAGAAGAAAGTCAATGAATATTAAACCTAAACAAACTGAAAAGCTGCAGTTATCTGTAGTGGCAGGATAAGGAAAAGGAAGTATATAAAGGAAAAGGATAAGGAAAACCCCTGCTGTAATGCAAGCCCACCGGGTCCCGCACTCAAGTCTCCTTGTTTGTTAGTTTATTTCTGAGCAGTAAATAGAGTGGGTCATAGCGGTGTATCGTAATAGTCTGCCAGGTTGTCCATCGGATACTGCCGCTGCTGCTGCTGCTGTTGCTGCTGCTGTTGTTGCTGTTCCTGGTGCTGCTTCATAATCTCCTTGACTTCTTCTTCAAGTTCTGGTGGGATGATGAACTGGTCATCAGGATCGGGTTGTGCTGGAGCAGCAAAGTAGCCCCCTGTTTTTCTGAGAGGCGCATCCGTTGCGACTTCAATTAAGTTGTGGCTCCTCTCTTGTGGTGCCACAGAACCGTTGCCCCGCCGGCGCCCTATTGTGCCTGTCGCAGAATATTTAGCTTTCCTGGGAAGGCCGGGCTCATCTTCGTTGGCACTGATGACGATACCTTCATCGCTGGCTTCCACCGGCACTTGGAGAAGCTGCTTCTCCTTCGCTCGGCTGCAGTGGATGTCCACCTCCACTTCCACACGGCTGCCGTTGGTGAACACCCCCTCAATCGGTTCCTCGTCGTCACTGTCAAGGCCGTTGTCGGAGAAGGCGCTGGAGAAGGTGGCGCTGGAGAGCTGCCGCTGGAAAGAATTGGAGAGGCAGACAGGGTGCAGCATGCAGCGCTGCTCCCCCGGGTAGGCCGGGCTGTTCTCGTTCATGGCTACCTGTGGAGGCTCATCGGAGGCCGTGGAACCCACCTCACTGCTCATTTCAGAGGTGGAGATCTCGCTGCTGATCTCCGAAGCCATGCCGCTGCTTGAAGACGGCATCCCAAGCGCATCTGTTGGCCTGTCCTTGATGACCACGTTGACAGTCTGGGGGAAAATGCCTGGGCTGGGAGGCGGGACCCCATTAAGTTCACAGCAGCAGAAGCTGTCCTCCGTCACGTTGAGCTGAACCACGACAGCGCTGATACTGTCATTGCAGCCGTAACTCTGGGCCAAAGTGCAAAGCTTCTTTGCGGCTGCCAGCGCATCAGGCACGTTTCTGACTGCCTCCACTGCTTCATCCATCGAGAGGCTGTCCCACAGCCCCTTGCTCCCCAGAATGAAGAACTCATCTTGCGGAGTTAAGGTGATGGACTGGACGTGAGGACGCGGCACAACACTTGGGTGAAGGAAGGTGTAGCCCAAGATTCTCGTTGAATCCGTCACACCATTCACTTTGCCATCCTGAAATTAGAAAGGAGAGGGAACTGGAAACACAGCAGACAAGAACACACAGCACCTGCACCTCCTTGCGTTTTACTGATGGCTGTTTTTGCAGTACCCTCAACGCTGCCATTTACAGACGAGAAGATGGAAAAGCAAAGTGATTGGCAAGAAGGTGAGAGAGCTGGGATTAGAGCACAGCAATGGCTGGTTTCCAATCCTGCACTACGCCTCCTACACCCTACTGATTTGTCATCAGCATCACCTATGCAGACAGTAGAGCAGAAGTCTGCAACAAAGAGCCATCTATTCTGCTCCTGCAGATGCAGGAGCCAACTGGACTCGTGTTTTACCAGTGAGTCAGACTTATCCCTCCTCCACCCACGGTATCTGGCTTTATACAGGGTAAAGCCACACACAGCTCCGTTTGATATAGGGGCAGGTCATTCAGTTATGACTCTTCTCTTGCAGCTGTAACAATTGTAGGTTTCATCTTGGTTCATCACTTGGGAAACAAAAGTTCATTTAAAAAAAGAAAAGACTAAATGAGGCATGCAAGTCAAATGCAGCAGACAGCAAGTCTGCATTTCTCAGTCAGCTGAGTTGTAGTGAAATGTTTTACACGCCCCAATTACTTACTACGTTTCCACTTAGATACAGCATTTCCAAGGGGAGGAGGAGGAGTATCTGAAGGGAAAACATCAGTAAAAATGGACGTATTTTAGAAGTAAATTCCATGCACGTCCAAATCCCAGGATCCTGTCCTGGTTAGAATCCAAGCTGCCAGAATAAGCAGAGCAAGTGTCTGAAACAGCAAGCCTGGATATCTGTCAGCCTGCTGGGGATAGCTACACCCTGCTAATTGCATGTTTGAGAAGAAAAACAAAGGTAAGGGTTCACACTCATTTGGTCCAGCTGATGTCTGCAGTGGTTATTATAAAGCAGATAACCACAGAAAGGTGAACCAAGACTAAAAAAAAGCTTCCCCTTTAAAACCCCTCAGAAGAAAAAAAAAAAAAACCCTGTTGCCTTGTTAACTTCCCCATTAGAAGGCTGACAGCAGTGATAAACCATCAATGTGCATGAAATCAGTGAGTCATCTTAAGCTTCAGCACAGAAATTTCCCTTCTCCTCTACGGAACAACACAACGCGCGTGCCTCAGCGATGCACACTACACTGGAGTGACTCCCTTCCAACTTGTCACGTTTGAGATCCCCGTCGTCACCTTTCCCTGGCATGATCAATAGGCACGTGACTCATTCCACACGCACACCCCCCTACACGCACACCCTGCTCACAGGCACACAGCAGTGAGTTTTCTGCCCTTTCCTTCACCATTAAGAGGATTCAATATTTATCTATTCTTACACATGGGTCACACAAGGCAAAGCAAAACTGACAGCAGTGGCTCCAAGCTTGTAAGGAGGCAACAAACAGTTTTCTCTCCTCTCATGGTTCAGCTGAGCACAAGATGGGTTTTCCTTTTGGGCAAGTGCTCTTTCAAGAGCTGCCTGTCAAAGGGCAGCTCTCGGAACATAGGAGCTCAGACAGCGAAGTCATCCTGCCCAGGAGCAAGGAGTCTCCTAAGGGAAGGACAGCATTGCTCCAAGTGCTCTGTCCTCTCATCCTTTTTGATCGGAGAGGCTCTTGATGACAGCTCCAACACAGTAATTCCTCTCCCCATTACGAGGAAGGTGTCTGCTTTCCCGTTTCAAATGCAGAAAATACTCAGTTTCTCACTCTCTGAAGCTAACCAAAATCCAGCACGACAACGGGATGGAAAAGCAACTTGATTGCACGATATGAATCACCTTGAAAGGAAAAGTGCAACTCTGGAACCCAAACCATTAACATCACCTCTTAGAGGCTCCTAACATCCACACGTAATTTCATGCACTGCTGTGCAAATACTCTCTAAGGAAGCTGCAAGTTGCAACAGTCCCTAACTGTTCTCTAACCTCTGTGATAATGGCCTTATGCTGCTTAATCCTCTTCAGCTCTTCTTCACAACTCATCACGTAACACCTGGACAAAGGCAGAGGTTTCCCATTCCGGCAGAGAACGGTTTGGCACTTCCCCACGTTTGCTGAGGTTAGCGTGAAGCATCCACCAGGGTCCATGGGATCATGTTTTATATGGCAAAGAACAGCAGAGCCTCCAAGTTTTTGTCCAGCTGTTCCAAGTTTCCTGGAATTTAAACAAAACAATGATTGTTCTTTAATTGGAAAACAAGTATTATGGGTACTACGGAGAAACAGCCGCTGTTCTGCAACCACAGGCACTCAGGACATTGACTCTATTGGATCACTGGGACAGAAACAAAAGTCTCCACTGAAGACTCTTGACACTACAGCAGCACTGCAGAGAAATCACGTGTGACTCTCAGGCAGCGTGTTATTTACACATAAGCAGATACTCAAATCTGCTCAATTTTAGGAAAAAAAAAAGAAAAACCAAAACACTTTGCACTTTTAAAAGTTGCACAGTTTTCTGTCTTTCTCTGCTTCTTAAAGACATTTGCTTTAAAGGTCAGGTCAAGGGAAACAGAGAGGATTAGAAAGGTACCGAGGACTATCAAATGAGTACAGGTAGAGCTTAAAAAGGGGGTTCATATTATCCAGCTAGTTCTTTAGATCTGAAGCTACCGATCTTTATTTTTTACATACACACTACAAGAGTGTTGCATATCATCTGTAATAATCCTCAAAGAATGCTTAAATGCAACTGGAATGAATACTATTTCTGGTTCTCCAAAGATGTGACTAGCTTAATTTTGACTTGAGATACAAAATTTAAAAAACAAACAACAAAAAAAGACAGCTTTTTGTAGGAGTGCCACATTCCTGTGATATTGCATTAGTAGTAAACAAAACCGCTTAATAAGGACTTTTGATACGAAACTTTGTTATTATTTTTGAATATTTTAAGTATAGGGCAACCACGTTCTCAGCTACCAGCCTGAGACACTGTTACAAACAATTATGGGAAGGAAATTTTTTCTCTCTTGTGTTTGTACGGTTCAGTAGCACCCTACTGCTTCCATCTCTTTCCTGATACCAGAACTTGAGAGTATTTTCCTTTCCAAAGGTGCAGCAATTGAACGATAAGCAATGCTACTTTTAACTTGATCCATTTCCTCAGTCTGTAAGCTGCTTGTTTGCTTTCTCCTTTGTTTCCCTGACCTCTTCGTTCTCTTTTGTTCAATTCCCTTCATATTCTTCCTTCGCTCGATGTCTCCCCAGGCACGATTTCTTCTTCTGTCAAGAACAGCACGCACACAGGTTTCCAAACCACTACACAGAGCTACTATTACACTCACAGCCATCGTATCACAATCTCTTTGGATGGGTCCTGCTTAAATAATATTCTAAGGCCAAAGGGATGACAGGAGATAGAAATTTCTAAGGAGTCAGACTACACGTTTTAAATATTTGTGTAGCCTTAAATAACTTGAATTGGTACAGAGAAACAGAAAGGTTCAGCCCAGGCTTTGCATCCAGTAGTAGTAAGGAAGCTTAAAAGACAATCAAGCGATTCTAATCACTGCCTTGGTTATGGCTAATTGTGAATTGTAAGACTTAAAGAAGGTACCACAAAAGAGTAAACCTCCACCCACCACTTAGTCATGAGCATTTAGTAACTTTGCAGGTGGGTACTTTCTTTTTTGTTTGAGTGGGGAGGTGTTAGGGTTTTTCTCCCCACACCTGAAATGAACAGAGCAATATTCACAAAAGCAATAAAAACCCACCATAGCCAGATACCGAGGCTTTTTTCCCCTCTGGCATTTTTTTGAAGCAAGAAAAGAGCAGGTGTCTGACCTGAAAGCAAATAAACTGCCCAGTGAGCACACACAAGGTAAGAAAAGGCTTCAGATCCAAGACTCACCTCTGCATAACGATGAAAGTGTTGATCATGTATTCCTCCTCATTTTTTGTCTTCTGCAGCTCTTCTGCTAAGATGTCACTCATGGTGCACTGCAGCAGATACGGCACTTCCACGTTGCGGTCACCGTCAAAAACACCATAAAGTGCCTCCCGGTTGTCACAGAAGTTATTGGCCGAAAGTGCTGCCACACACAGCCTAGTGAAAAAACAAAGCAGGAGAATATCAAGGTTCTTACCCACTACGAATTTTTCATCTTGTCATTCTGACCAGAAAGATGCAGCCTGGTCTGAGAGCTAGTTTTAACCACCTTGTTCAACCACAAGCGTTTCAGGACTCATTTCTGAGCTGTGGAGAAGACTCAGGCACACTCAACAGTGCTGATATGTGGGGAGAACTATGCTGGAAATTCAAGCCAAGCCCTAAGGATTTTTCCTCCTTTTCAGCATGTGAACAAATCCCTTATTTGGAGAAATAGGGGAGAAAAAAAAAATGCCCAAAACAACATCAGCTAAAACCACACTTGTCCCTCAGAAAGCCATCTTTGTGATTTAACATGCCAATGACCATGTTGTGCCTTAAACCAGTTAAAAGTAAGTAAAGGCTTGCTGGCACTTGCTACAGAAACCTAGGTAGCAGAAGATTTCTAAAAAGGTATTTAAGGAACAAAGAAAGATTCAACACACTGCCAGCAACACAGAGACTAGCAGACTCTTGGGTACAATATTTGTCAAGTGCTGCCTTAGTCAGAAGAGCTCCACACACTATGAATATTCAGAGTTTTGGCCATTCTGCCTCTTCCTTTGGTATCTCTGATTTGCTTGGTAAACATCCTTTGGTTGAAAAAAGCTTTGCAAAGAGGAAAATGCTTTTAAACACTCAGATCTTTTGCAAGTACCGGAGTCTTGCACAGACAAAATGTGTCAGTTACACTTGTATCTTAGCAACTTCCCTAACAAAGACCAAAGTCGAGAGCCAGGCAGGGGCCCAGTATACAAATATAGAGCCATGGCATGGCCTCTGCCTTTGTGAGGCTCAAAACGTCCCCAAAACTTTCACTGAAAAAAGGATTTCTTTGGAACAGCATAGAGGCACTCTGCTGCTAGGATGCTAGAACAACATCAGGTCATACTTGTTCTTAACGCCTGATGCTTCTGTGTAACCGTGACTCCACACCGCTGGCGCTCCTGAAGCATCACCGGCCGAGGGCTGGTCAATCTTGAAGCAACGGATATTGCTGCAAGGAGAAAAGAAAGGGGAAAGATGCAAAGTTCTGACATGATCCAGCTTAAAATGTGAAGATAACACCTTTTTTTCCCCCTCCCAATTCTCAGTAACACATTTAATAGAAGAAAATGAAATAGGACATCTGAAGTGGTTACTTTTATGTGTCTGTATACAAAGAACAAAAAAAGCAGTAAATAACTGAGCCTCTGTGGGGGTGTCAGCTGCACTGTTTTGCTTAGCTGGCTTTTCTTTTCCCTGCCCTCACCCCCCAGCTATTTGTTTCAAACGTAGCCCAGTAGGAATACAGGGCAAATTTGTCACTAGCTTGATGAAAGCCAGTACAGGAGAATGACTTTTTTAACTTATACATCTTTCTCAGCCATTTTAACAACAAGCCTCTAGGCTCTTTTCATTGTACTCAAATGAAACCTCCTGTATGACCCACAACATCCCCTAAATGAAAAAAAAAAAGAAAAAAAGAAAAAAAATTCTTTAGAAACAGAAAGTAACAGCCTTCCCTGAAAATGCCTACGAACCAGAAATCGGCTCCATCCTTGTCGTGCACCAACCTGCAAGGGCCAGTCTGCAGTCCCGTCAACCAGCACGGCCCTTCTGCTCTGCCCAGTCGTACAGTCCTATTTTTACTAAGACCCTTGATCCTCTACCCTCCAATTTACTACCAACATAGCCTTTAGCTTGAATTTCAAATATCTCACCCGGTGTAGTAAAGACCTAAAAAGGGCCCAGCCCTCTCTGTTTATACCCTTCTCTTCACAGCCCTGCTTTGCTGGGTAGAGATGACCCCCCATGCTCCCTACTGCTCCCTTCCAAAGGCAGGGGAAAGCAAGCTCCCCACACACTGCAGACACTTCAAAGGCACCCGAATCTTTCATGAACCAAATGAATCATAAAAGGACACAAGCAGAAAGGCCTAACTGTGCACTCTGAGCACTGACTTTTCTCTGTCCAAACCCCCACCCAACCTGAACACACTGAAAAGTCTTTTCAGCATCGCACGGCTTTCCTCAAATAACCTCAAGTTGTGTCACATCCAGATTTCTTTTTACACTAATAGGCAGGATGTACCAGCAAGGACATATTAAAAGCAAACAAATTACATAAATAACATTAGAACCACTGGTGTTTTAAGCCCTTGGTTTTGCAGCCCTTTGTGTGACAAAGAGGAGGCAAACATCTCGCCACGAGCACTAGAAAATATTATCTGACCCCAAATCAAATTGGAAACCTGGATGTCTTCTAAAGTAGCAGAGCTTTTAACTCTGTCTGCACCTGCAAAACACTACACACAGGAACAAACATACTTTCTTTGCAGACTACTCATACAAGGCATTTATCCTCCAGGGCAGAGGAACTTGGATTAAAAAGGTTTTTCTGTTTGTTTCTTTTTTTAACTGGGTTGACTGATGCCTGGTTCGTGGGCAGGTCAAGGACCCAGAGGTGTCTCAAGGATTCCCAGCAGTGATGGAAAAAAGCGACCTCAACACATTGCTCTCAGGTTCCTCAGTGGCACCACTACAAATAGACCATGTGCCTGGAAAGGAATGATATCCAGCAGCACACCCTATACAGACAATATGGGCTAAGTCTTCCAGACAGCATGGTTTATCTTCCCCCTATTTTAAAATGACTGTTACAATTGAACTAGATGCTCTTTCCTAAAAATCAGAGTAGCAGCATTTTTTTTTTCCTCCTTTTTCATTTTAATTGCTACTGAAAATTCTTATATCCAATAAATCACTTGGCAACATCCTCCTAAGCATGCAAGCATCCTTTAAGATTTCCATACATATTAAAAAGCAAGCATGCATGACAGGACTCTTCTTCTCACCAGCACTGAGAGTATATATTAACCTACTACCTGCTTGAATCCTGCCAGGGCACAGATGGAGAGCTGCCTTTCGCAGGCAGAAGGAAGATATAAAAAGTACCAAGTGCACAAGTATTTTTGTGCCTGCCACAAAGAACAAGTGAAAGGAGCACCTCCTCCCTCACAGTCAATTATAGCAGCACAGCACAGAAGTCAGCGTAGTAGATCAGACACTAAGCTGCCCCTCAGGAGGCCTGAAACACCTGACTGTGGCTAATGAATATTATGGAAGAGAATAGACCTGAGGTCTTGAAAATAATTTATCAAAAAACCACCAAGTAACCAAACAAAACACAGAAGAGGAAAGAAGTTTTCTGTGAATTAAAGACAATGTGTACGCCAGTGAAAATCACAGAATGGCAGGGGTTGGAAGGGACCTCGGGAGATCATCCAGTCCAACCCCCCTGCCAAAGCAGGTTCCCCGCAGCACGGGGGACAGGCAGGGGTCCAGGCAGGTTTTTAACATCTCCAGAGATGGAGACTCCACAACCTCTCTGGGCAGCCTGTCCCAGTGCTCTGGCACCCTCACAGGAAAGGGGTTTTCCCTCATCTTCAGATGGAACTTCCTGTGTTCCAGTTTGTGCCTGTTGCCCCTTGTCCTGTCACTGGCCACCACTGAAGAGAGTCTGGTCCCATCCTCTTGACACCCACCCTTTAGATATTTGTAAGCATTGGTAAGATCCCCCTCTCAGTCTTCTTTTCTCCAGGCTTAACAGACCCAGGTCTCTCAGCCTTGCCTTGTAAGGCAGATGCACCAGTCCCCTAACCATCTTTGTAGTATCTCTGCTGGACTCTCTCCAGTAGTTCCTTGTCTGTCTTGAACTGGGCAGCCCAGAACTGGACACAGTACCCCAGATGTGGATTCACTAGGGCACAGCAAAGAGGGAGGAGAACTTCCTTCGACCTGCTGGCCACACTCTTCTTAATGCACCCCAGGAGACCACTGGCCGCCTTGGCCACAAGGGCATGTTGCTGGCTCATGGTTAACCTGCTGTGCAGTAACATCTGCCAGCTCTCTCAGAGCTCGTGGGTGCACCCTATCACAGCCCACAGATGTGTGGATGTCAAGTTTGCCTTAGTGATCTCTAACCCAGTCCTTCTTGACCAAGGGAGAGTCTTTCTTTCTCCAGACTTTCCCTCTTACCTCCAGGGTCAGGGATTCCTGAGGGTTGGCCTTAGCAGTGAAGACTGAGCAAAGGTGGCATTCAGTAACTCAGCCTTCTCTGTACCCACCATCACCAGAGCACCCACCTCATTCAACTCAACTCAAAATACGGCACGTAACTAGTACTCTTCTACTACTTAGGGCTTCAATTTGTACAATACTGCTATAGGGCATGATGCTTGGATATGAAAAGGGGAAGAGGTTGGCTTGTCCATCTTGTCTGCTGTGTTATACACGAGAAAAGCTGATCTTTCCTGTTAAGTTTTGACACTATTCAGTTAGTTTTGTAATCTATATATGTTTTTTTAATTTTTTTTTTCCCCTGTGAACAAGAGCAACATTACACACTGCTTCTTCAGGAAGGTTTCCTGTATACAATAAAGCAGCTCTTAAAATAGAGGAACATCCCTTTTTTTTTTTTTTTTTGCTGTCTGATGCAGAACATGGACTCTTGGTTTTATCTGTGAAAAGTAACTTTATTCAAATTTCCATTTAAATTTGATAAAATCCACTGATTCAAGTAAAAAGGAAACCCACACTGTAAGTTTCCCTTGCTTGCACAACAGATGAGGTTTACTACTCCTGAATGGCTGATCTTAACGATTTAAAAGCAAACACCACAAAGCAACTGCTCAACCCTTCTTGGAATCACACAATATTTAAGGATCAAAGAGACTTAGAAGGAAACTCGGAGCTGACGCAGGTCCCTTCAGGACATAAGAAAAGCTCAAAGCAGCACCACTGTCCACAGATGATCTGGTTTAGTTTCCCAGCACACTGCAGAAGGGGGCACAAGGCACTTGGTGAATTTTACTTATGGATGACACTTAAGTCCCAGGGCAGGAAACAAACAGGTAGATAAGAAGGAAACAGAGGGTGCCAAAGGAAGGGAACTAGCTTTGCTGCAAGCAGAGTGGGAGATGTGAGTCTTCAGGAGAGGTTTAAATACAAAAAATATATATTTTTTTCTAGGACGAAAACAGAGGTATGAAGGGTAACAAGAAATAGTATGCAAAGAGGTAAAAAGCAGCAGAAGGGCAAAGAGAGACTCAAGGAGATTAATGTGAACAAAAAAATATAGTACACAGCATCTCAGCAGTGGAATAAAGTAAGTATTTTGGCTGAATCTAATGCCAGAAGCCAAACAGAGATCAAACTGGCCCAACAGTGGTTATACCAGACTAGCAAAACCCCTTCAGGAGTCACAGCTGAAAGCAATTGCACTGAGGTAGGTGAAGTCAACCTCTTTAACAAAGCATCAATTTCTGACCTATCCCCATAATCTGTTACTTTCTGATCCCCTGAGAGCATAAGCCATATTTACACTTCTGTGCATTGTGCTTTTGTCACATCCTAGTGACAGGAGTTGTTCTGTCCCCTCCCCACTCTGTAAGGTAACCTACTTCAGCAGCTCTAGGGTTTTGTGATCCAAGGCTAATCTGGGATTTCCAGTCAGGTCCAGCTCTTGTAGTTTTGGAGGCAGGTTTTCAGGCAATGTGACTTCACTCAGTTCATTGCAGCTTAGGTCCACGCACTGCAAAAGGAAAGCAGCCAAATAAGCAAGAGAATTCAGCTGTCATCAAGATCATGCAAATTTTGATTAAATGTAGTAAGGCATGTTTCATGAACAATAAAGGCTGCAACGGAGACCCAAGACCATTCATTTAAGTGGTTCTTACAAAAGACATTCATATGGCATTTAGCCATCTTACCAGATGTCTGGGACACCTAGAAATATGTTCCCTCCATTTCCATGTCTGGCCAGGTGTCCTCTTGTTACAAAACTAGTAAATTTTGTCTGCTCTTCACAGAGACAAAGATGGCCAGTATATTTTCAAGTATTTAAGAAAAAATGTTACTGATGAAACCAGTCTTTTAATAGATAAAGGAAATAAGAGATAAATACAGTTAGGGCTTCTAAGGCACTGGTATAGCAGTCCCTCCTCCAAAGTCAGTTTAAACCAGCATAAGTATGAGCAGGCTGTAAGGAATTCAGAATTTACTGAGGGATATTAAAATAAGCAGGGTTATGAATGCATGTGGAGGGGGAAAAGGAAAACAATATTGGAGCAGTTTTAAACATGGTTTTAATTCGTGTCATCTTAGCTGGATTCATATTTAAATATGAAGTCAATAAAATGAGTGAAAAAAAATTAAAGCTTAAGTATTTCAGAAAAATATGATCCAAAACAGCAGAGAAACTTGTTGGCTACCCACCAGCTAAGCACAAGTGAAAGGAGTTAGCTAGAACAAGTGCACAAGAATGACAAAAGCCCCAAACAAACATCATTTAAAGCTGCATATCCAGAGGAAAGACAATCCACAGGGAAAAATATGGCATTTTAGAACAAAACAAACTCTCCAAACCCTATTACAGGCCCACCAGTGTAGCATGAACCAAAAACAGGAAAAAAAGTTTTTGAGAGGACAGAGCAGGCTAGTATTTAACAGAGGACAGAAGAAGTTTCCACATCTTTCAGAAAGACCATTTTCTACTTTCAGCCTGCAAAAAGAGGAAGACTTCAAAAACTATAATAAACAGAAAGCTGAAAGCAGCAGGAGGAGGCTTTTCCTAGCTGCACACTTTGACCATTATGTACTTTCCATTGACACAAGCAAGGCATTTTCATTTTTGTAGGTATATTCAAATAAATTAGGTCCTGGGCTCTAAGAAGACATAAGATAACCTAGTAAAATCTGGAGAAGAAACATCTCTTAACACTTTATTAAATACATGGAAAGGTCCCTTCCAACCCTAACCATTCCATGATTCTATGAAATAATGAATTTCCAACCCAAATCTTGAATCCTGAGGTTGTCTAATATGGAGGCCTTATTATCTATGAAGAACAAACTGCTGACGTTATCTAAGCCTGACAAGGAAATCAGAGTTTAAATGTGTCATGCAAACAAAATAGTAGACAGCTTAACAGAACAGTGAGCTTTTTCCCTCTGCGTAACTCCTTGCTGCTTCCAGAGAGCCAGTAATTACTTTGCAGATTAAAGAAGCTGCCAGCAGGCCTTGATGTGTTCAACACTTCGGTGCTATTACAAATTTGATGGAAGAGCATGCTGGAATAGCAGATACAAAAATCAGTAATTTGATTGTTCTCATTAAATGCCAAAGGCAGCAACACTCTAGAGCAGATGCCTTGATCCCCAGGCACTAGTGAAGATCGCTTATTTACCAGGTTAGGATTTCTTAGATTTTATTTGTACTATTTGAAGAATAGGCTAAGAGGGACTTTCTGCATATCTATGTTAAATTTAGTCCTTGTTCTACTCCCTAGGCAAGCAGGAAAGGATATTTCCTAAGTGATCCAAATTTCCTCATGGATTATGTTAATGCAGGCTGGTTTAGCCTCACCCGTGCAGTACCAGAAGAACAACTCCTGCAACTGCACGCGGGATTTTGCACTGGATGGGGCAGCTGGAGGACAGGGTTTAATATTCAGCATTTGCTTACGCTGTGTTGATAGTGATACTGATACTAACCTATTTAATGAGGAGAAAAACTACCAAAGACAGAGTTTCATCTTTAAGATGTACTGCTGCTAAATCTTCATTTATTTCAGATCTCAAGGTAATGCTCCTGTGAAAGATAAGCTTGACCAAAAACTGTGACAAGAAACCTCCATTTCACCCTCACTGCAGCAGCCCAGCAAGACAACCACAAAAGAGAAGCAGCTCATCAGTCAACAAAAACTGGATAATAAAGTAAGGCTAGGTCCCAGGTGGGAAAAGCAAGCCTGGGTTGCCGAGCTCTGCTCAAGCAGTAAGGAGTACTCAACTGTTTGGCTGCGAAAGAACACTAGGACACTGGATAACAATTAAAAATGTGCCCTATTTTATTTTGTAAGGCAAGGAAATTGAAGTCAAACAATGGCTGTAACAAAGAGTCTGCTGGGGCATTGACTCAGGTATGTGTGCTTCCAGCTGCTCAACCATTTGCAGAAGACATTTTAGTGTGCACAAACCTAACTCTGACAGTATAACTAACTGTCATAAAATACAATAAAACCCCTAAAAATTGTATTGTGTAAGAGATCTCGGAGACCTCCACCTCTAACACAGAAGACAACACATAACTTCTGTAGCCTTGACTGTAATGTGCAAAAAAGGCTTAGAGACAGTTGTATCACTAAAATGACCTTGTGTTTGGAAATCTTGGAGTTACTGCAAGTGTGAAAGCATCATCATTTATACTAGCTTTCCTTCTGAAATTACTTCAGACAGCGTAGTAACTGCCGTAACTAACTGTTCCAGTATCACTGACTCCAAAAACATAACATGTCAGCCTACCAGGCTAATTACACAGAAGCAAAACACCCTTCACTCAGGTAACAGAATTTCCCAAGAAGTTCAGTGTGTTTGAATGCCATCTCAGTTAAAAATAACTATCAAATATGATATAATTGCAGAGGTAATGCGAGACTATACAACCCTCTGCTATGCTACAAGCAAGCTTCTTTCACCAAACAAACAAGTCTATACTCAAACAATAAATTCTGAATTACTTTGGCACATTCTGAATGCTCTCACATACCTAAGAAGGAGCTCCAGTTAAGCTCAGTAATGGACACAGCCAGGCAGCACAAGCTTGACTTCCAAACTGACAAACACCAACCCTGACCTAGAGAAATCACCAAGAGGCCAGAAGAACCTCTGTGTGCAACAAGGCACCTTCCCATCTGGCAACTACATGAACTCATCTCACCTAAATCAAAACCAGGCTTGAGTACTGACCAGGCATTTTCCTTCCACAAAGGCAGAGTCCTAGAGTGCTGTGCCCTTTTAGATGAAGCCATGCGCGCTATCCCCGTAGTCCCAAAACAGTTAGTGACATCCATGCCTCTTTCTTCTGCTGAAGAGAACTAAATAACTGTAGGGAACCAGTAGGAAGAAATTGCCGGATCTTCCAAGAGCGTTTTCCTGCTAAGTGTTGTGGCAGAGCAGCACTTTAAATACTGACACTTTTATAAAACATTCAGCCTTCCCCAAAACAGAAGAACAAAAGGAAGAAGTTGATTGTTCCTCATCAGCGTGTTTACATTACCTTCATTTTTTTGTTGTTGTTAACACCACCCTCATATTTTTAAAGAAATGTTTATTGCTCAGAGCCTCGATCCCCCACCCCAATTCTTCCTCTAAGAAAAAAGGCTTCGCTTCTGATTGATTCTAAATGGCCCTCTGCTTCCTCTGGCCATTGTTCCAAAGAGGGAGGAGTATTCAAAAACCCACAAGTTTGTTTGAGATTTCCTGGCTAAAACCACAAAGCTCATCTTTGCATGTACTCACTGTCCAACAGAACTATTGCTCCTGCTGCTTTGCCTGACCCCAGACACCGAGGCACACACAGAAGTCTGTGAACTTCGCCTTTTGACTCTGCAGAGCGCCCGAAGGACACTTCAGTTGTTTTGAGCCTGTGAATAGGTAATCGGTTCTCAGCCTCGGAGAACGACACGTTTTCTGCCGTATCACAAGATTTGTATGCTGAGAGTTAACTGTCTCCCAGCCCCGGCCAGCGGAAACAGCACACAGCACAGAATATTCTGCACTGTAGCCAGGCGAGAAGTGGGAACTTGATTCACAAAAGCGAAGCACCAGTGCTCTTCAGCGTGGTCAAGCAAAGTATGCGTCACACAAAAATAAGTGTCAGGAAAGTACAGAATTACTCCTGGAAAGGCGTACTAGAGACGGATTAAGCATTCCTCTGGTTGTGCAAAATATGACTGCAATTAGGAAAATTAAAGTAGCTTGCCTCAATACTCAAATCCTGCTCTCCTGGAATTTATCTCTGTCCCCAAGGCCCCATTTTGCAGCTTCAGCAGTTTTTAACACACACTCTAAACAAAGTCCATTCCTACACCATCAACCAATTGCCAAGGCAGCAAGAGTTAATTATGCATAGCTCTTGCCAAATGTTTAAGTCGTATCCTAACAGACTGTCACAGGAAGACAATTAACACTTATTTGGCAGAGAAGACAGGATCTGGTGAAGGTGAACGTAAAATCAGATTTTGAGGCGCTTCTTCCCTTCCTCTCTAAGGCAAAACAGGGGCAAATATTTTGCATATGACCTCATAGGAAAAAGCAGCTGTCAGATCTCTGTAATCCTGAGAATATACTAACCTGTAGCAATGAGAGACCTGAGGGGAGAATAAAATTGGTAAAGTTGCATTATACTTGCTTCTATCAAAGCACATTCATTCCTTACCTTTATTTCAGAAAGCTGCATGACTTCTGGGAAGACTTCGATGCAGTTGGAGTGAGCAATTACAGTATGCATACGTCTACAGTTCATGATAGTTGTTGGAATGGCTTTCAGTTTGTTCCCACTAATATCAATTTCCTCCAACTCTTCCAGCTTGGCCATTTTGCTATAAGAACAGGAGTTTGAGAATTTTTTTTTTTTAATAGACACACATATTTTATTTTGAAGCAGTGATAAGAGCAATGGTTTTCATTATTTGAAGAAAATAAAATTGCAGACGTTGGTCCTTGTTCACAGCAGTGCCTGTCACCTCTCCTCACATCAGATGCTAGCACAGTTGTGGAAGAAAATGTGTGCTGCTCCTGTCGTGTTTTGTTAATGCTAGTTTTCATGTGACTGATTTTGCTAATGTCACCCCACTCACCAGCTCACTTTTATTTTTTTTTTTCCTCCTTCCTTCCCCTTTCTTTCAACTCTTGCTTCTCACTTCACCCCAAATTTTCCCTTCCATCTTCTGACATCCCACTCAGCCCCTCCCCCTAATTCATCTCCCTCCCTCCCCCTTGCCATCGAAGCCCAGCTGCTCAGAACATCACCCAAGGACAGAGATGTCTCTTCCTTTATTTATCGGCATCTCTTTTCCAAGGTTGTACCTCATCAGCTTTACAGCACATCTTACACTTGAAAGACTTCTGATTAAAACAGAGTGAACTGAAAGTACAGAATTGCTGCCAAGGCAGAATCTCCTTCTGGAGTAAGAGGATTTTTCCCCAGTGGAGTTTAGTCCACTTCCAGAGGACATTTCCAGACTGTTATGCTCACAAATAGCTTGTAAAGAGAAGCCCACCAGCTGTAAGCAAAGTGACCAAGCCAGGGAAAACAGAACCTCCTTGCTCGACTTCAAAAGCATACTGAGGTCACGCTGAATTAGTCCAGTTGAAAAGAATTTCAAGCACAATCAAAACACACCAACTAACATGCAGCACTCACTCACCTGTGCAACACAAGAGGGGAGCAGCACTGTGCAAGTGGGCGCAGCGGGTGAACCCACCCACTGCAGTATCACTGCATTCAAGATACAGCCTGTGCCACCACATTTCTACACAATTCAGTTCTCGCTGTGAAAATGTTTCGTGATGCCCACTCACCAGTGGGCCAGAGGCAGTGGAACCAGTTACTCACCTCGCAGGGAAGCTCTGCAGGCGATTGTAAGCCATGTGCAAGATTTTCAGGTGCGGATGGCCTGTTAACAAGGGTACGCATTTATCTGTGAGGTTGTTATTGGTCAAGTACAACTCCTGTAAGATGCTATGGGTTTCTTCAGAAAGAGTTGCTGGAGGAAGCATTTCCAGTTTGTTGGCAGAGGCATTAAGAAATCTCAGGCTGCAAAGAGAAGTTACATAAGGGAGTTCAGTGAAACATCCTGCAGGTTTTGTCTACAAGTATAAATTAAAATAACTATTTTTAAGAGTTAAGATAGTTACAAAGCACAGGTCAAAAGCAACAAGTTCCCAACAACAGAGAGAAAGACCAAAAGTCTAGCATTATACTTCTGACCACATTTTAAAATGAACACATTTCTATGAACAAAACATCAGCAAAATGAGTATGTCAAAATGCCTCTATCCCCTTATCAAGACCTCAGTACCTCCAGCATTACTACAGATGTACCTACAGGCAAGAGCAACAAAAAACCACATCATTTCCATATTCATTCCACATAAATATGAATTCTGAATTCATCATCAACGAACCATGAGAGTACAGCTGCCCTTCAAGTGACTAAAAGTCATCACTGGTAAAAAA